TGTGGTACGATTTACAAAAGGCCGCCCGTAAATCGACAGGTATGTCATTATAAATATCAATAACATTAAATACATGATGTCGAAAGAAAATAATCATTTCTTTATACGCAGACGAACGAGACGACAATGACGTCGTGAAGCAGACAAAGTCATTGATGAAGAAAGTTGAACATTGGCGCAAATCAAGCAAGCCAAGTAAGTGACGAGTTGTGCGGCATCCCAGTAAAGAGCAAGTAATAACAGAATAACGTTTACACCCTAAATGTCTATAAATAACTACAAAAATGGACTTTAAATTAAAATTTGTAGAAATTTTTACATCTTGGTTGAAACATTAATTTTTTTGTAAGAATAAGTACAAAATATAACCACAAATTACACTGTTCTCAAAAGATTTTGCAGCAATTTGTGAAGAGAAAAGAACTACATACAGTAGTGATTGCGATAATGAATCTGATGAGAACATAGAAATTAGAAAACGAAAAACTGAGAAAATTATTAGATTTCGTCGTTACAAATTACAAGAAGATCGATATAATTACTTCCGAGAACAAATTTTATTGTTCTTTCCTTGGAAAAACGAAATAAATGATGTGGAAACTCAAGATTGTGAAAAGATTTTGTTTAAAAAGGCCGCGCTTGCTGCGCGCTTGCGTGTCGAGGCGGATAGCAACAGCGGTGCGGACGCGGAAAATACGAACGCCGATCGTCGATTGCGGTTTAGTTAGTTACGCGTTGTCAAGGGAGGCTCGGGAGAAAAAAGCGATGCGTGCGTCGTGCATTCGGTCTCAGGAAGTCGTTGCGAGAGTACACGTTTGTGATCCGGATAAAGTCTAGTAATTTCGAGAGGTGTTTGCGAGTTCTTGATTGCGACTGCTAAGGGAGTCGGGGTTGAGTGCGTTGCCTACAAAATTCCGTCAGGCATCTACGGTGCAAGGACGGTGGACGTCGCCCCGACGCCGCGCTTGCGACGGCGGAGAGCGAGTGGATACAAGGCGGACGAGCGGCTGCACGCAGGAATACATTCCACCCGAGATTCTACATTAATGAGTTGTCTGCTGCTATAATACATATATTTGGAATTCAGAAGGAAGGACGTTACGTTAACTATCGTTACTCTTGCGCTCCATCGAACCGATAAGTACCACCACTGATTCCGTTCCGGCTTCGCCGGAATAAGCGTATTCTACGCAATTGCAAGCTCATTGCGAGCACCTCCGAATTCTTCGGATAAAGACATTTCTTTTCGTGGTCGATGGTCTCAAAGATACATTCATTTGTTTTAATCGATATAGACGCGTCCGACTACGTTGGACAGTCGAGTTACACGATCGTTCGTTTGTTTATAATTTGCGTCTGAATGTTGACGACATTTCGTTCTCCTTATCGATCCATATTAATATTATATACGGTGTTGCTATAATCCTTAATCTTTCATTCTCCACGTTCTAATATTACAGTACCCTTTTATGGGTTTGTTTGGTTTGTCTGTTTGAATATAATATATTACTTTGTTTTCTTGAAGATACTCTTCATAGTAATTCGTGTTTGACATTATAATTCTTCTAAATCCTAGCGATATAATTACCATCGTCTATAATTTCATGTTTTGTCTTGTTTATTGTACGAATTGTATTATTGCTTACATGATTCATGTTATGTTTATTATACTTGTACATGTATATCTCTGTTTATGTATTTCACTTGAACATTTATTGACTCTGTTTTGTGGAATCTGAATTTCGTTGCGCCATCGAGTTTCGATTGGCAGCATATTAAATTGTCTTTTTGTATCATTTATATTTGTGTTACTTATATTCTTTCGGTAAGCTGCTCTCTTCAAAATATATGTATTAAGATAACTAACCCCCCTGCCTCCGGTCCCCCTTTAGCGGCAAGGAACCTTCGGTTCAATACTTCTCAAACACATTATAAATATAGATATATATTTTCATTCAAATTATTAAAACGTATTGTCTTATATGTTTTTGAATATGATACATTATTCTACTAATTTAATACAATATAGAATTAGCACGAGATAGAAGAGGAGCAGAAATAATACATACATAATAACAATTTTATGAACAATGACCGTTTCAAAGCTTTCTTCTAATGTGTCGTTAAAAAATAATATTTTCAACAGTCACTTTTATTTCCTGCAAACGATTTCGCTAATTTTATCCTACAACAATTAGTTAAATTATAAGATAATGATTAATAACTTCTTATGTAAATATATTATCTTCTTTAGAGATGCACAATGTGCTGTAGTAATTTTATTGAATTTCCTGATTGAAATATTCAACGAGTAAATTGTTTTTCGATTAGAAACGACCATCCAAACATGATCATCGGCCAATCCACCTTGGGCGTAGATATTGTGAATGATACAAAACATATTGATACAGTCATACCTGTATTACCGGTGCCTATCTATGGTTGTGGACTTAGCATGGGTTTTGCAATAGCCATCAAAGGAAAGAATCTAAATACATACCAAATAAAGTAAAGATATCGAAAAATTAGAAAAAGACTGGCGAATTACGCAAAAGGCAAAAAAATCAAAATTGGTGAGAGAGTAAGAAAAGGCAACTCAAATTTGTTGTACATATACAAGGTGAGTTTTTAATTTGACTAACCTAAAAATTAAAAATGGTAGGATTTTAATATTTATCTTAAAAATCAACCTTTTATGTCACCATTTAAATCATGCAACATTCATTTAAAATCTGTTATTATATTTTTCAATCGTAAAAAAAGGAAGAATTAATAATTAAATTAATTTCTCGTATATAATAAACTATCTCGCTCTCCCTGTTTTTAGTTCTATCACTTTCTCGCTCAATTGTGTTCACCCTATTCTACTCTTTTACAAATATTGAAATGGTAAATTATAATTCAACCTTAACCACCTCACTAACGCTGGCACATAATATGTACATATTTCTTTGCGGAATTGGCGTTGTTTGATCAGTGTTCAACCAGTCCTGTAACTTTTTGAATACTCAGTGTACTAGACATTTTAATGTTATTTTGACGATTATTTTATCTAAAATAAATGACCATATTTTTCAAAGATCATTAAATTATATATATATATATATATAACAAAAAGGAAAATTTTCATTCAAATTTTTAAAAATTGAAATAAAAATGCCTAAAATTGAATGTGATTTTTTTTGTTCATCAGAATCAAAACTATGTTTGTGGGTAAAGTTACGTACAGGGTAGATTTGACGACGATGTTTTTTACCCCCCCCCCCACGCACAATATCAATACTAATAATAACAATATTAATTTAAAAAATAAATTTTTTTAATATTAGAAAAACATCGATGATATATTTTTCGGATGCGATTTTGGGAATTAATTAGGTAATTAGGTATTAATATTTTAAGTTAAATTAACATAAATTGAAAAATATAAAATCTGTTAATTTAAGAAAAAGTTATGACTATAACGTATTTTTAATAATTTTTAATTGAAAATAATACAATTATTCGGAAAATTTAATTTTTTAAATTAAACAAAACTGAATTTTCAGTAAAGATATAAAAGGGCAGCAGAAAGAAAATAAAGGAAACACTAAAGAAATTGTAAGGAAGATAAAGAAAAGAAAAAGACTGACGAGCTTTGCAAAAAAATTGAATAAAAAAATTTTTGCGAAAATAAGAATAGACCACTAAAGTTTTTTTTATTAAGAAGGTATAAAAATGCCCAAATTAAAGAAAAAGAGTAAGCAGTTACAAAATAACGAAAACAACACAATTTATTATTAATAAAAAAATAAAAACTTACACTGATAATAATGATACAAAAAAAGATAAATCTTCAAATGAGAATGACAATAAAATTAAATCAGATATACAACAGAATAAAGTTAGAGAAAAAACTATCGAACGCGTAAAAAGATTACGAAAGGATCCTTCGTATAGAAAACAAGAAAATAAAAAGAATTTACAAAGAATAATTGAAATACGGAAAATTAGATCACACAAGGAAGCCGAAAGACAAGGGAACAGAAAACGAATGATACAAATACGTACAGATTTTATGTATAAAATAAATGAAAGAGCAAGTAATCAACAAAGAGTAATAAATAAACGTCAAAATACAGTTTTTAAAAAAGCAGAAAGAGACAAAAATCTACAAAGAATGAAAAGCATTCGAGACGAACCATTATATAGAGAATCTGAGAAAGAGAAAAATATAGAAAGGATGAAAGTCGTTCGAGAAGAACCTTTATATTTATAAGGAATCGGAGAAAAAGAAAAATACAGTAAGGATGAAAGTCATTCGAGAAGAACCTTTATATAAGGAATCGGAGAAGAAGGAAAATACAGTAAGGATGAAATTCATTCGAGAAAAAGTTATATATAGAATCAGAGATAAAGAAAAACAGAGAAAGGATGAAAGTCACTCGAGAAAAATCGTTATACAGAGAATCGGAGAAGGATAAAAATGTAGAAAGGATGAAAGTCATTCGTGAAAAATCGTTATACAGAGAATCGGAGAAGGATAAAAAATATTGAAAGGATGAAAGTTATAAGAAAAGATACAATTTATGAAATTAGTGAAAAAAACAAAAATAGAGAAAGAATACGAGGTTTACGGAAAGATCCTAACTATAACGTTATTCAAAGAGTTTCTGATCGTGATCATAAGAGTTTATTAAGAATTGATGATTTTTTTACATATCGAGAAAGCTATAGCAATTTCGTTCATAATAAGATAAATAGTGACATAAAAGATTCTGAATATTATCATAATGTATTGATAATGAAGTTCTTAAAAAACAGAAAAATGGGACCAGATATAGTATTGTAAGAGTATTCGCCGGGGGAGTGCGCCTGCTCCCGGGAACGCTACAAAACAAGCGCGCGAAAAGGCCGAACACGTGAACACCGCGAGACGCTTCGTCAGGTGTTACACGCGTAAAGCACGTGTAAGCTCGAGCCAAACCGAAGTTGAGCCGTGCTCGCCGAAAGCCGGGACTCGCCTTCGAGAAGGGACACGCGCCGGTCGGTCCTGCGAGTCGGTACGCGAAAAGATAGATTTCTGTATCGGAGTTCGTGCGAATAACGCAGTGCAGTTATAGTTGATTATCTGTGAATTTTATTGGCACATTCAAATACAGTTGAGTTCTAATTAAATAAGTGTTAAGATCAGTGCTTTCCCACCCGGGCTTTTCCTTATCCTGACAAAATCCAAACCACATTCTTTACAGTATGTATATGTGAAAATTTGTTTTTCTTAAAATCGGTAGAACGTTTTAATATTACAAAAATAGAAAAAGTAAGAACACAAAGATTGAAATTCATGAATTTATTAAGAAAATTGTTAATAACTCATCAGAATACGTCTGCAAGACATGTCAAAAATATATTCTTGCGGGTCACGTTCCAAAAACAGCAGCAAATATAGATTTAAAATTTCCAAATGTGCTAAAAATTGTAACTAGTTTGACAGCACTTGAAGAAAGAATGGTATCCCCGTATATTCCATTCATGCAAATTAAAGCATTATAACCGTATGCAATTAACCCTCAATTATCATTAAAAGGAAGTATAGTTAATATCCCAGTTGAAATTAATGAGATGGTAAATGTTTTGCCACGAACATTTGATGAAATGTCAACTATTCAAATAAAGCTGAAAAGGAACATCGAGGACAAGTCTGATTATATGTATGAAACTATTAAACCAGCAAAAATTTGTAAGGATTTAGAGTATTTACAACAGACGCTTTTGTATCGAAAAAAACAATGTAAATGTTGACGAGGATTTTTTTAAAAAATATAACAGAAACTTTACTGCGGAATTAGAATTTATTGTAGATAAAAATGATAAATACGATAACTCCACTAATATTAAAAATACGTGTAATGCAGAAAATCCAGACAATAAGTCGGATTCTGAAGATTCTGAATATTTCGAACCAAATGATGAAGTTTTGATTGTCGATAGAAACAAAGAACTTTCTGCAAATATTCAAGTAATAGCTCCGGGACAAAACAAATACCCAATCCCTTGGCGCCTAACCGAAAATATTGATGAATTGTGTTTTCCAAGAATTTTTGGAGGAGACATTCCAGATAAGAGAAATAAGTTAAGTTATTCACAACGAATCAAATTTGAGGCAAGACACAGAGATAAAAGATCTTGTCAACCTACAAGAATTTTGTTTATGGCTAAACAAAAATGAGAAAAGTCGGTAATGACAAATATAAATATTTGCCTAAGGAGAGTGAAGAAAAACAATAATCTAACTGTTAAAAATATTAAAGATCCAAATTTTTTAAATAATACTATTCGTTATAATGATGGATACGAATTCTTAAAACAAATACGTTCGTCACCATCTTATTGGGAAAGCAAAAAGAAACATTTACTTGGTATGATTAGACAATGTGGTATTCCCACATTGTTCATTACCCTTTCCGCGTATGAGCATAAAAATATAATAACATATCTAAATGTAACATTGACATAGAAATGTCATATAAAAATTTCTAACGTTTAAACATTCGAGTAATGTACAAATTTGAAACACGACGGACAAATTGTGCAAATTCAGAGTCAAACTATGCTTGTAGGTAAAGTTATTATATCTGATTTGTTAAAAATTTTATACAAAATACGAGAAAATAAAAACATCAGCACGTATAAGGCAATACACTTGGACATGGCAGAGAAAACGAAGTTGATAAGAGAAGATCCTGTTACGTGTGTAAGATATATAGAAGAAAGATTCAATTTTTAATTATGTCTATACTACAAAATGAATATGGCCCATTTGGAGAAAACTATGTAGTTGACTATTTTCAGAGGCGAGAATTTCAAGCATGAGGTACTGTTCATACACATAATCTTTTATATTGCAAAAATGCACCGATTTACAACGACGAAAATGAAGACGCAAATAAAGTTCTAATAGAATGGATAGATAAGAACATTTCATGTGCATACGATAATAAAAATCCATTGATAAGGTTCCAAAAACATCGACATAAACCAACATGTTACAAAGGTCGAAAAAATAAATCTTTATGTCGGTTTAACATTCCAATGTTTGTAATGAGAGAAACTATGATTCTTAAACCATTAGAAGAAAATAAGAAAAGTAAAATTGATAAAACCAATAGAAAAAAAATAAGAAACCTAATGCAATTATTTTTCGAAACAAATATAATTTTATCTTTCGAAGACATATTGAAACGATTAGAAATGACGGAAAGGGATTATATTCAAACTATTAGAAGCACGTTATCAACGACTAAGATATTTTTAAAAAGACAATCCAACGAGGTTGCGATTAATGCGTACAATAAAACTATATTGACCCTTCTTGAATCAAATATGGATATACAATTTGTTTTAGATCCATATAGTTGTGCCTCATACATGATTAATTATGTCACAAAAATAGATGCAGGACTCACGATTACTAAGAGAAGCGGCAAAAGATTTGGAAAATGGGAATATGAATATTAGAGAGAAGTTTAGAAAAATCGCTAACGTTTTTATAAACGGTAATACTTTGTCTGCACAGGAAGCTGTTTACCATGTTCTTGGCATGCCACTTTCATTGTGTAGTAGAGCAGTTGTTTATATTAATACTGCTCCGCAAAAAGAACGAGTTCATATGTTTATTTTTCGGTTTATTCAGGAAACACTGCCGCATGCAATCTGGAAATTTGTGCCTGGAACGGACAACCCGGCGGACTGTGCAACCCGCGGATTGACTCCAATTCAACTCGCTAATCACGCTGCTTGGTGGACCGGACCATCTTGGCTTCGGCAAAACCCTTCCTCCTGGCCTCATCCACCTCAATTATCTAGCCAAGGAGATATCTTGGAAGAACGATCAACTCACGTTTCTGTAATAACCCCCGGTAAATCTACTGAACCATGGGACCTGCTGCGGCGATATTCAAGTCTAACTCGACTACTCCGAATCACTGCTTGGTGCAGGAGAAGCGTCACCCGTTTTCGACGCGCTTTGAACGTGTCATCTGGCCCGTTGACTACGCACGAGTTGGAAGCTGCCATGAATTTCTGGATCAGGGCAATTCAACAGTCTCATTTCTATCATGAGCTCACACTTTTGTCAAAGGGCGACGTACTCCCACGCTCCAACTCACTCTTACGCCTCACTCCGATCATTGACTCAAGTGGTTTTCTCCGAATTGGCGGGCGCCTTAACTCATCTCTTCTTTCTCCTGAAGCAAAGCATCCCATCATTCTTCCCCGAAGATCTGCGCTCACCTCTCTAATTATCTCTGACGCTCACTTGCGAACGATGCACGGAGGCACGCAGGTGACTTTGGCATTTATACGAAACAAATATGGGATAATCGGAGGACGAGCCCCAATCCGGTCTCACATCTTAAACTGCGTGAAATGTACCCGATACCGTCAGCAAAGGGCTCAACAACTGATGGGTCAGCTTCCCATCGAACGCGTGACTCCATCTCGCCCTTTTTTGCACACCGGCATTGACTATGCTGGACCTCTTATCCTTAAAACTTCGAGAGGAAAGAATGCTAAATCTTACAAAGCTTACATTTCATTGTTCGTTTGCCAGGTCACCTCCGCAGTGCATTTGGAATTGGTCACGGATTATACCACGGACGGATTTATCGCAGCGTATAAAAGATTCACATCACGAAGGGGAATTTGCGCTACTTTGCGTAGTGATTGCGGCACAAATCTCAAGGGAGCAGACTCCGAGCTTAACAGGCTCTTTTCCTCGGCTACAACGGAATGCGGAGCATTAGCAGATCTTTTGGCGGACGACGGGACTCAATGGCTATTCAACCCACCAGCAGCTTCTCATTTCGGAGGGAAGTGGGAAGCGGGAGTCAAATCGGTTAAATTTCATCTGAAACGAGTAATCGGAGACCACCATCTCACTTACGAAGAAATGTCAACGCTCTTAGCTCAAGTAGAAGCCGTCCTCAACTCTCGACCTATCAGCCCTCTGACCGACGATCCAGATGACATCAAGGCACTTACACCTGGGCACTTTCTAATTGGTGGCGCTCTCGCCACTATACCAGAACCATCACTCGAACTCGAAAACCGCTCTCATCTTTCACGATGGCAACTCAACCGTCAGATGCTGGAGAGTTTTTGGAAACGTTGGTCCCAGGAATGTTTGCAACGCTATCTCGCTGTTTATAAATGGAACCGAGCCAACCCTTCCATTCAGGAGGGCTCTCTCGTGCTGGTCGTGGATGAGCGCTACCCTCCATCTAAATGGCCCTTGGGACGAATTGTGAAGACTCACCCCGGAAAGGATGGACTCACCCGCGTCGTTTCAATTCGAACGCAGACCTCTCTCCTGAAACGTCCGGTAGTCAAAATCTGTCCATTGCCGATTCCCACTCAACCTGTGTAATTCATTCGTTAATTGACATTAACGAAGGCGGGCGGAAATGTTCAAAAAATAAATATGAACGTTCCGTTCAGAGCGAGTGGGATCGCGAAGGAGTTCAATTCAAAAAGAGCGGGCGGCCTATGATACTCTAGCCGCTAGGGGCCTTGGCCTCGAACCAGAGCTCTCACGCTCTCTCTCTCTTTTCCGCACTCTTTCTCTCTCTTCGATGAGTTTCGAGGCTCGGACACTGATGCAATCCAGTCAGTCGTGTTTTGTTTAGGTTAAGGTTATATTCTCATTGCGTTCTTACCATCGAGTATCTGCGTTGTTATAATCATTTTAATCACTATAATTTGCGTTTATTTGCTCGATCAAATAATTGGTCTCGAGCATCGCGATTTACTTTGTTTTCCAGGTTATTTTATGAGCATACGCTCTTTCGACGATTGTACTTTCATTTTCATTTATTATATGGTCCTTCGATGTCACATAACAAGGAGGCTGCGATTGCAGCTACGCTATAATAATTCTCGACTGAATTTATGTTTAAATATCATTTATTATAAGGTTTATGTTTCCTTTTGTCTGTCCTCTCGCCGCTCAACATTAAGGCGGACGAAAGTCCCACTCACTGAGTTATCCATTACTAAACACAGGGTAGAGTCAAGAATAGTTCAGAGGCTAAAGATAAAAAGAAAAATATGACCGTCGAAACGGAGAAGTTGCACCAAAAAAAAAGAACGCATACATCATAACGATAGCGAATAAATAATATAAAAATGCATCATAAATAAAACCATCGCGACGCTATAAATGCGGGAAATAAATCAATAGTCACAGCATGGTCCTCGAGTCGGGACAGGAATTTAGAGTTACCGTCCGATACTATAACACTTTCAACCAAGACAATTATACTTTCAACGGTGTCCCAGGACAGACGTGGAAGAGAGCGCGAATCAAAGTCGTCTAGCTCCAAGATCCCCAATCGAACGCAACGGAAAACTCTCTTGTGGGTGATTGACGATTAATAACCAAAAAAAACCCGCATGTTCGAACCCGTACAAATAAGAAGACCACAATATACAACAGTGTAAATCGTCCGCTATCGATCTCTATATTTTTTCTCTATCTCAAGAACCAATGTAAATCTAATCCTGTCGCACACAGGACGTCGCCGGGGCATCTGTTCCTCCCGTACCCGTTTCACGAAAAACGAGGACTGTTGAAAGTATACAAAAGGTTACAAAACGGTTCAAATTATAAACAACCAAACGGTTAGAAATTATAAACGTGCAACAGTCTAATATTCCTGCGACGCCTTGTCGCCCTTGCCGGAGCCGCTGGTGCCGGTCTTTTTTGGCAGCAAGACCGCTTTAATGTTGGGCAGGACTCCGCCTTGAGCAATGGTCACTCCGGACCAGAGCTTACGATTGGATACGTGTTTTAAGATTCACGTGTACACGTAATCCGTGTACACGGATTCACGGTACCTTCATTCACGTGTACCCGTGTATGTATGTGACACGTGTACATGTGTAGTCGTGTATGTGACACGTGTATTCGAATACCCGTATGTGTGATATGTGCAAACGTGTAATCGTGTATAATAAATGTACACGGTGCACACAATGATGTACGCGCTCAGCGTAATTGCCTTTCCTCAGAAGACGGTGAATCCTGCCCACGGGGAACTGCAGGTCGGCCCTGCTGCTGCGGGTCTTCGCCTTCCCCTTGGTCTTACCGCCTTTACCGCGTCCGGACATATTTCGCCGTTACGTCGAGCGCGTTTTCTTTTTCCTAGCGCGAGAGGAGAGCGGGGAGGGAGCGCGAGACGGTTAGGAAGATGCCGCACAGGATCGCGCCGACACTGTAAGTACGCTGCCGCCGCCGCCACCAGCGTACCCGCCGCCGCCACCGCCACCACCGGCGTACCCGATGCCGCCGACACCGGCATATGCAACGCCGACGTACGCGACACCGATATACCCGGCGTACCTGACACCGCAGCCGACGTACGCGCCGCCGACGTACCCGCCGTC